CTTAGCTGTGGAGGGCAGTGTCACTGGCCCTCATATGTGGGATCCGAACCGGGGCCCTCTGGTGTCCCAAGCCAGTTCTTAACCATCGTGCCACTCAGCCGGCCCTCTTTACTTTCTTCTTTATCTCACTTAAACTTCATAGTCAATCATGACTAGCTCCCTAGTTCCCTAAACTCGCAACCCTAACTGAATAAATCCAGCTCTCTTCCCTGCACCATATCTCTATCCATGCAGTCAAACCCACTTGGAGAAAGGAGCCAATCAATCTCACTTTAAATACATGACCTTGACTCTCAAGCGCCCAACATTTTCCTTGTCCGTGTATTCTTCCGAGAAGACTGTTTTATACCTTCTTCTCTCTTCCGAACCACTTTTACCTTATGACACGATTGCTCATTTCACTGAGGACACAGGCACAGTCAGGAGAAGATGTCTTGCTTTCTAACTGTCCTCTTGCCCCATACAGTCTGCTCTTCACAGAACAGCCAGATTGATTCTGATGAGACATAGATCAGCTCAACCACCCCTCTGATCCAAGCCCTGCATGACAGGATGCTCTGACCTCGTCTTGTACACCTCTCCCCCCAGTCGTCGGCTTCCGCCACCCTGGCTTCCTGCTGCTCCTTGAACGTGCTAAGCACAAGCTGTCCCATGGCCTTGGTGCTCTCTCCACTCTGGTCTCCGCTCAGATACATGCATGGTTTGCGCCCTCACCCCCAGCTCTGTGCTCAGATGCCCCCGCGATGAGACATTCCCTGATCACCTATTTAAAATTGCAACACTCACCTCTTAGAAATGCCCTCCTCACTTGTCTGCTGTATTTTTCCTCACCGCACTTAATGTCTAAGTAATTCACTGACTTGACTTGGTTATTGCCTGTCTCCACCACTAGAACTAGAGTATAAGCTCTACAAGGGCAGGAATTTGAAAGGTGGGGTAGAGAGAGAAGACCTGGCACTCAGAAAATATTGGCTGAATTAATATTCATTCAGAAATTTTACAGTAACCACTGGATTTAAAAAATGTGCAGCTGTAAACTTTTCAAATTCTTAAATATTTTCAAGAATTCTATTTGGGCAAGATTTTATTTATCTTGTTTGCCTGTCATCTTACTATAACAGGTTTACTATTGCCTGTAACCAACATTAATAAGTAAAATCTTTCTTTCACAAAAGATATGTTTAGTAAAGTGAAAACAACAGCTGTGTTTCTGATTTCCTAGGTGGCAGCCTCAGGAAACGAATGAAAGCCTTAAGAATTATCAAGAAGCTTTGCTTCAGAGTGACCTCACGCTGTGCCCAGTAGGAGTAAACACGGAATGTTACAGAATATACGAGGCCTGCGCCTGTGGCTCCGTTCCCGTGGTAGAAGATGTAATGACAGCTGGCAGCTGTGGAAATACGTCTGTTTACCATAATGCTCCTCTGCGGTTACTCAAGTCCATGGATGCTCCCTTCATCTTTGTTAAGAACTGGACGGAACTTCCTGCTGTTCTGGAAAAAGAAAAAACTCTAATTTTACAGGAAAAGATTCAAAGGAGAAAAATGTTACTTCACTGGTATCAACACTTCAAAACAGAGCTAAAAATGAGATTTACTAATATTTTAGAAAGTTCATTTTTAATGAACAATAAAGGTTAACTATGATCTTTTTGAGCTACGATCTGATTTTTGAAATCATCTCTAACACTGGAGTGTGGGTGTGTGATTGTGTATTTATAAATGTTCTTTAAAATACCCTTGTAGACCCTAGATTATGTCTGTCATGTTAACCCAGTGCTCCTGTGCTGGGCCACTCCTGTAAATGAAGTTAAAATGTTACTCAACTGACTTTTACAAAGTTAAATGATTCAACATTTATCAACTCTTCCCACCCATTAAACCCACTCTAGGGAAGCAGCACAGTGTAGTGGAAAGACTAGGCTCTGGAGTCAGACAAAACCCAGGCTGAACCCTCGCCGCCGCAGCTTCTACTGTTTGGGGACCTTGAGGAAGCCGCCTGATTGCTCTGAGTCTTGGTTCCTTTCAATGTAAAATGGACCTAATGGTACCTCATTGGGTAAGTTATAAATATGAAATGAAATAACATATAAAGTACCCAATATATGTAGTAAATGCTAAATACAAAGTAATTTCTAATTCATTTTTCAATCCTTACTAGTTAGTAGGGTTAAATTGAAATGTTTTATCACATGCTCAGTTACATAATATTGGGAGTAATCATACACCATGTTGGGAATGCATGTGGACGAATCTCAAAGAGTTAGACGTTTAGATGACTCAAGTTTTGTTGGATCATGTTGAGGTGGGTGCCTGGATGCAGAATTTGTTCATAATTCATACAAAACATGGACTGGGGGCAGCCAGAACCAGAAAATTAGTGCTAAACTCAACAGAAGTTGTCGTTGAAGGACAGAGTAAGACTGGCCACCTTGGGAGAGCACTTCACGCAAAGGCTGCCTGATGCCCTTGAGAGCAGTGGCTTTGTTTAAGGCTGAGTGGTCTTCATCTTCAGGTCCTTGGGCTCCTGAGAGGATGAACTTGAGCTCAATCTGTTGCTTTGTCTGGCTTTTTATTTTCTCAGGCATCTTATAGCTTGACTCCTGTGAAACCAGGGGGTTAACATCGTTGTTAATGATGCTTTTTTGTCTCTAGGAGCTTTTTGTCTCCTCATTATATGAATGGCCATAGATATTCAACAGGTATAAGTTACCCCCACACTTTCTTGGACCTGGAGCTCACACAGGGATCTCCACATCTTCAGAAGGCCTGGCAGCCTGGATGTAAAGGACCTTACCTTTGCGGCATATTGAAGAGTCATGGTGCCTGCCACAACCGTATTCAAGCCTAAGGAAACTGCGCCTGCTCAAAGCACCACACCTAGGGAGCATTTTATACCTTGTTTCTCTCCTCTTTTTCCCCCACCTCAGGTGACAACCATGGACACTTGATTCAAGAGCACCTTGTTTAGGCTTCCTCATGACCCTGAACATTGGTACCAAAAAATAATAGCAGGTCAACAATTAGTCCAAAGCCTTTGTGAACTAGGAAATACTGAGAACCTGGGAGTCAACTGCAGGAGCAGAGCTGAACGGATGTGGTGGCATGGGAGCTGTGAGTTAGAGTTGGGCTGTGAGGGAGGCAAAGACACTATGAACAGCTCGAGAAGAGAAGTCTACCCCAGAGCAGTTGAAATGCTTCGTAATGGGCTTCCAGCTATAACTTCCATGAATTTAGAGATTGCTTTTTTTATTTCCCCATTGTGTAGCTTCAGAATCATCTCCTTTCTTCAGCCCTCATCTCTCTTGTCCCCAGGTTACTTGAGTTGACTTCCAAACCAAAAGAACCTCCCAAAACAATAACTACAGGCTTCACCTTTCAGAGTCCCCATTTTGTCTTTCCCTTGAGCAGGGGTGCTGCCAGGTCCAAGGCTGTAGCACGATTCTCCTCTGACAAGGTAAAGAAACTTCTGCACCACACTTCACCAACAAGACTGGATCAGCTTTCAAAGAATGCTTTCTGCATTGATGTGTTTGTTGCCAGCAGAGCCTTTGGAATGTCAAGACCATGGGGCAAGACACAAGTGAATCATATCAGAAGAAACTTTCTAATGTCCTCCAACATCCTTTCTTACCATGTGGAGTTTGTGGGTAACTTACTAAGAGGCCAACTCTGAGCTATCAGTTGCCTCTAGAACGAGTTGGAAATCTGCCTACAAAGCTCTGGTGGTCTGCATTCCAGAGTTGGAGTCCATAAAGTTTGAAGCTCCGTAAACTATCAAAGTCTGAATTCAAAGCTTCACTGAACCAGAAACATGGTTTGAGGCCAGTGCTAGAGTAAGACTCCACTATTACAAGTTACTTTTCTGTCAGTACAAAAGAATGTTCCACTTCAGGAAGTAGCCAAGCAGCAAAATGCAATCCTATATTAAATATTTTGTAACATACACTATGTACCAGGAACTTACGTAAATGTTAGGAATTTTAAAAAACTAGTTCTGTCCTCAAGGGCTCACAGAACCCTGATGGGAGAGAGAACTACATAAATAATTACAGAATATTTGTGCTAAGAATTCCAGTAGATATATTTACTAAGAGCTATGGGAATTCAGAGAAAAACCTGTCTGTCCAGGAGTAAAACTTCCAGGCTTGCCTTGAGTTGAATTTAAAGGATAAATAGATTTGGTGGCATTTTTCAGTATTGACAAAGGGACTTTGGGGCAGCATTTTTTTTCCCTCTGAAAATCAGCTGGGCCTGAGCCCTTCCAAGTGCCCCGGTTCAGAAGACTGAGGCTACTGGGATGGTGCCAGTCAACTCAAGTGAGCTCTCTCTAGGTGTACAGTCACTGACCTGTGCAGGCAAGGCCTTCTGTCATCTCCATCCATCAGGATGGATTCACAGGGGTGATCTCTGGGGTAGTAGTTCTTGAGTATTCTCGGAAGGAATCAGAATCCCACTTGCTTCAAGTTGTCTAGCATATAACTATGTGTCACTAGTCCTAAAATGACTCTTACAGCTCCATTTAGATACCTTTCGTGTAACATGAAACTGAACTGTATTAAACTGTATTAAACATAAAACTAAAACTGTATTCACTATCTTCCTCTTCCAACACACACACACACACACACACACACACACACACACGCGCGCGCACGCGCGCGCACGCAACGTAATTCCACTCTAATCTCCTTAATCTCAGTTAATGGTGTCACTAACCATGCTGTTTCTCAAACTGGAATCTGTAAATTCCTATTTATTCTTCCCAATCCCTCCAATTAATCACCAAGTTTTGTACTTTTACTGCTCTTGAAATTCATATTTGGTTTAAGCAAATTTTCTAAATAATCTTTTTCAGGTAACAAATTTCTGCAGAAATAATGTTACTGAGATTAATTCCAAATTTAGGAAAATATGGATGAAGTATCGTGTAGAAATTCTTACTCATGAGATATATTATTTGATAACTAAAATAATTTGAGATTGAATTGGCAAACAACTTATGAAATATAAAGTTTAATATGGTATCAATCATTTCTAATATAGTTCTTATCAGAAGAAAGAAAATTCTTTGTAACTATGTATGCATGTTAACTAGACTTATTGTGGTGATCATTTCCCAATATATCCAAATATCAAATCATTATGCTGTACACCTAAAACTAATGTAATGTTATATCAGTTAGTCCTCAATAAAAATAATAATTTCTACTCTAAGTCCTCCATAAATTTGGAACTACTTTTAAATGTCTAATGAAAATTAGTTTTCACAAATATCAGTTATAGATAGTCATTAATTATATTTATTACCAAGAAAACAGTAATTAAAATATATTAAGGGCTATAGGTAGCCCTTTTAGTTAGTCCTATAGTTTTGTTTAAGTAAGCCAATTAGACAAAAGTGTATCTGAGTTTTATATACTCTAGTGGCACTGTTTTCCATAGCAGAAATACAGATATTTTTAGAAGTTACCAGTTGAAAGGAAACAGTTATTTCTTTGCGACTTGCAATATCAGTCCCTAGGAGTCCTACATTTATGCTGGAAGTGAAGCTGCTGCCACAGCAGCCACCACAGGGAAAATTATGGTCTGGCCTGTTCAGCTGCCGGGATGTATTTTTGTTGAAATCATTTTTATTGCAATGATTCTTATGTATCCTCTTTTACTGTTGAAATAACTTTTTCAAACAGGAGTGAATTGTGCAAGTGAATATAGTATATGTCTTACAGTCTGATGTGTGACTGAGTGTGGCAAAACTAAAACACTCATTTAACAAATATCAGTTGAACACCTACTGTGTTGCTAAGCGGTGGACCCACAGATTCTATAAATTAATCTCACTATTGGCCTTTAAATTTTAGTCTGTAATGCTTGAAAAAAAAATCACAAATTAAGCACTTGGAAATATTCTCAGATGCTGCTGCCTTTGTTCTCTGGACTACATGTTTGTCTCTTCCATTATTATAACAGTGAGTATAGGTTTTATCAACCCCAGTGCAAAATGATTGTCAGACTGTTTACTGAGAGAAGCTAGCAAGCAAGCTACTGTTGGTCCATCAGTCACAATACCCAGATGGCTAAAACAGCATGATATTTAAACTTATCTTAGATTCAACTATGATTTCTACAGTCTATCTTGCTTAAAATAGATGTTAATTGCTTTAAATATATTACCTTATTTACCTTTCTGAAATGAAAATGGAAAATAATTATTGCAGCTTACCTTCCTGGGTACACCTGCAGTGAAGGCTTGTTTTTGAAAACCACATAATGTAAAGGAATCCCTCTTCCAGGCTGGAAGATCCCTCCTCAGACCACTCATCATATCCAAATTGGCCCCTAACCCTTTTCAGGAAGGTTCAGTTTGGGCCTCAATTTCTAAGTGTCTCTTGTTTGTTTTTTCTCGTTTTGATTTGCTCTTCTTTTGCAATCTATTGTTTGAGACAGTTAATTTGTTTAAAGCTTTTTAAAACTTATTACTAAAATCAAAACAGGAAATGTGATAATGTATCAATTCAGAAACAGGTTTCTAATTGCTGTTGACACTTAATTCATTATTGTTCCTTACCGTTTGTTAANAATTTTTTATTGTTAGTTTCAGGTGTACAGAACAATGCAATAGTTACCCTTTTCACCCTCACAAAGTAACAACCCCCCTCTTCCCCTCTATTGCCCTCCCCCCCGATATCATGCTTATCTATTACAATTCCATTGACTCCATTCCCACTCTCTATGCCATGTCCCGTGACTATATGTATATATAATTATAGTTGACATACACTATTATTCAACATCAGCTTCAGAAATACAGTGCGATGGTCAGGCCTCTACACCGACTATGAAGTGGTCTCCCTAACAAGACATGAGTCCATCTGGCCCCCTAAGAAATATTTACAACATTATTGATTGTATTCCTCAGACTGTCTTTTAGAAAGTCATATTTTAAATCTCTTCTTTCTTTATCATCATGCTGAGATGTTGGATTATGGAAATTTTGCCAATCCTATTGTCATATATTGTTAACTCATACGTACTTGTTTTTATAGGTACAGGAGTTTCCCTGTGGTGGAGGCAAGTTGGTCAATGCTGCATAATGAAAGGCCCTACTTATGTAATTTCTTAGGAACTGTTTATGAAAATTCATCCAGACAAGCACTAATGAACATTTTGAAACAAGACGGGATTGATAAGCTCTGTTGGGTTTCAGTAAGAGAACAGTAAGTTCTGTGTTTATTTGATTCATCCATTTTGTTCTCCAATCTGAGAGTTACTTTATGTGGCAGCACAGGTTTCCAAAGAGACATTGTTAACTACATTGATACCAGTCTTTCCCCAAAACGTAGATTGGTAATTAAAGCTGTGAACAGCTTGGGTTGTATACATTTAAAATGGGGAGAATCTCCTCTCCCTGTAGTCCATCTTGAAGAATAACGGCAACTGTCATATGCAAATGTCAATTTTTTGGGTTTCCTTACTAATATTTGTTCATCAGACTTAATACACATGAGACTGTGAATATGTCAACAGCATCTTAGGTTCATCCCTGAGGTGTTCTGCAGACCAGTTCAGTGTTCCAAGATTGGCATGGAGTACTCTTTACACCTTTAGGAACCTGTGTTACCCTGAGGGTAGGGGCCACATATTATTCTTTTTTGGATACCCAAATCTAACATAGGACCTTGTATAAACTAGGCACGGATAAATGGGTAATGGATGGG